TTTTTTTTTTTTTTTTTTTTTTTTTTTTTTTTTTTTTTTTTTGCTTTTGGTAGAGTATTTACCGGTTGGTGGGGTCACCGAAGGTTGATGAAATGACACCTCCCTTTTGTGCGCAAGGGAGGGCGAGTTTGTCAGGTTGTTATTAAGCCTGATTCAGCCAATTGGCTCAGAGTGGGAACCCCGTTTGTGTGAGCGGACACGGAGATAAAAAGTTGACAGCGGAGAAGAATAGAGTATTTCCGTCCCCATGCTTTGTGATGATTACTAATTATCCTGCAGCTTAAGGAGGCCAGTGGCAGAAATTCACTGATTTTATAATTTAATGGAGCTGTCGCAGGATACTCAGTCAGCCGTTGATGGCTTGCCTGGAATGATATGCAATTCCTCTCTTTTCTTTGATAGAATAGTGGCGATGATGATTATAGTTTGCGCTGCACTCCCTGACATGAATCCTGTTGACGTTTTACACTATTTCAAAAAGTTTCACAGGTTCACTTCAGCTTGAGTGCAGCAGAACAATAGTTTGGCTCAATAAACCATAAAGCAGTGGCACAAAATCTTTGAGCTGTCAACAGATGGGTCCATGTTATCCTGTCGCCCTCTGTAGTCCTGTCATTTTTATTTGTTCACACAGTATTTCCTCTTTATTTCACTAGAGAATAGCCTAAGCCTAAGCATTTAGTTCCTGCAGTACAAGAAGCAAAACTTAACAGTTTTGTAATCTTCTGAATCGTAGCAAAACATGATATAAAACTTGATCAATTTACTCCTTTGTAACCAGATTAATCTGAAGCTCTTCACACAAACATTGACCTCCTTCGTGCAAACCTGAGAACTTGCAAATTTTCTGAAAATTGAACGCTCTTTAATATCTGTTTACTTGGACTTTATGTGCTTTAATGAAATATCCTTCAATCTAAAGTCTGATTTTTTTTATTTATTTATTGCTTGATGCAGATGCCTCATGAAGACCTTCAGGTCCTTATGAGGCATAATGCTGACATTAACCTAAATAACTTGATTCTCTTCCTTTAATAATTACTTCCCTAATGTTATGGCTAAGATTATATTTGTGGTGTAAAATGAAAATTTTAAGCTGAACAGATGTGTCTGTACTTTAGAGCAAAACCCTCAAATATCTTTTGGATCAAATTATCCTGCAGAAATTCAGCAGCACAATCAAGTCAGTTATCCTGCTTCTTTCAGAAATCAGTAATAGGTAAAAAAAAATATTTCGCTTCCCAATTATATCCATAGAACCCCAACCATCACCCCAATATATTTCTTTATTTAATACTAAAGAATACTTATAGTTTTCTCTTAATTTTTAATGTTTATTCTAAGATCTTTAGCTTATCATAACTTCTTAATTGCAAACCCAAATAATAAGTAAAATTAAGGAACATGTATTTCTCTGTGTGCGTGCAGGAATACTGTCACACCGTCTGCCTGGACTCTGGGACTGACTACAGGAGGCTGGACAGGCCTGGAGCTGGAAAACTCTACTACCTGTAAGACTTGCATGCGTCATCGTTTCCCTTCAGTGAACAGTCCAGCTCAGAGACGGTGGAGAGGTCTGATTGCGCATCCACACAAACATTTACACATAGGAAATGTTTGTGCACATGATGTAGTTAGATTTTTTTTTTCTTTTTTGTAAAAGATTCAAAGAGAAGGCAAACAGATGCATAAATGGGTAGAAGCAGGCAGGGAGGTTTATAAAGACCTGCATTACCTTGAAAGAGCCATGAAAAGAATGAAAGGAATCAATAGAACATGAGAAAATGGCAGAGCTTTAAAAGCTACTTTTTTATTTTCCTCATTACATATCCGCTCTTAGGAACGCACACACACACAGCTAAACAAGTTTGGGCCATTCAAGTGCATGAAAACACAGAGCATCACACCCCTTTTACCGGGAGTTAAAACACAAGCTTACAAACACACACATAAACTCTCCACCGACTCATTTTGACGAGTATTCATAGGCTGACGCTCGTGTTTAGATTCTAACATCCGTATTTTTTTTGCTGATGGAGTGAAAAGCTAAGTGCTCAACACCAAAGCTCTGCTTGCTTCCAGCGTTTGATGTGGCCACTTCAGCGTTATTAATTTTATATCCAATTGTTTCCTGTGTGGTTTTGCTGTGTGTCTGTGTGTTTGGTGTGCAGCTCGGGGGAGCCCGGAGCAGAGGCTTACCTGGACACACTCTTTGAGGAGATGTCAATAAGACAGAGAAGTGGTAAGAAAGTTTGACTCTGTCCACCTTTTAATGTGTCGTTAGGTATTAAGTTATTTTGGACAATTTGTTTTCACCAAATCTATGTTTTTGTGACTAAACTTTTAAAGAAGTGTTAAAATTTTGCTTCAAGCCATTTCCTTTTAACCCTAAACATATAAAGGAACACACCAAACTGAAATAAGGGCAAAAATAGGGAGGTTAAAAACACATTTTTAAATCACTTTATATACCAGGGACTGAAAAGGCTCATCCTTTTTGGGGGGAGGGTTTAACTGGCGTCCATACAGACATATCTGTTTTTGGTTTTTTTACTAATTTTCTTGTTTGTTTCTTTGTAAATATCCCAAACCGTTGCATGACAAGTTTTTTGGGAACGTTATAGAATAGTCTGGATAAGCAAGAACCAATCAATGTCACCCCTCTCCGCTTCCAGCGTCAATTGTTGTTTTATACGTCCAAAAAATCTCCCACAGATACAGGAAAATAGAGAAAAATATGCTACAAACTTCATGATCATCATTTTAATCACAAAACAACCATTTAAGTGTGAATGGGAAAGGAAGGGAGTGGCACAGACCCACGTTAACAGGAAAATAAGAAGTGCTTTGCTTTGTAATGTAAACATCTAACATCTGTGTAGTCAAAAACATTTGTTTTATGATTGCTCCAAATCTTATTTCGAGCTATTACTCCACAAAAGTTGGGAAAGCGATGTATACCGAAAAGTTACGTTTTTAAGTTAATAGTCTTTTATTTATACAACAATACACTCACCGGCCACTTTATTAGGTACCCCATGCTAGTAACGGGTTGAACCCCCTTTTGCCTTCAGAACTGTCTCAATTCTTCGTGGCATAGATTCAACAAGGTGCTGGAAGCATTCCTCAGGGAGTTTGGTCCATATTGACATGATGGCATCACACAGTTGCCGCAGATTTGTCGGCTGCACATCCATGATGCGAATCTCCCGTTCCACCACATCCCAAAGATGCTCTATTGGATTGAGATCTGGTGACTGTGGAGGCCATTTGAGTACAGTGAACTCATTGTCATGTTCAAGAAACCAGTCTGAGATGATTCCAGCTTTATGACATGGCGCATTATCCTGCTGAAAGTAGCCATCAGAAGTTGGGTACATTGTGGTCATAAAGGGATGGACATGGTCAGCAACAATACTCAGGTAGGCTGTGGCGTTGCAACGATGCTCAATTGGTACCAAGGGGCCCAAAGAGTGCCAAGAAAATATTTCCCACACCATGACACCACCACCACTAGCCTGAACCGTTGATAGAAGGCAGGATGGATCCATGCTTTCATGTTGTAGACGCCAAATTCTGACCCTACCATCCGAATATCGCAGCAGAAATCGAGACTCATCAGACCAGGCAACGTTTTTCCAATCTTCTATTGTCCAATTTCGATGAGCTTGTGCAAATTGTAGCCTCAGTTTCCTGTTCTTAGCTGAAAGGAGTGGCACCCGGTGTGGTCTTCTGCTGCTGTAGCCCATCTGCCTCAAAGTTCGACATACTGTGCGTTCAGAGATGCTCTTCTGCCCACCTTGGTTGTAACGGTTGGTTATTTGAGTCACTGTTGGCCTTCTATCAGCTCGAACCAGTCTGGCCATTCTCCTCTGACCTCTGGCATCAACAAGGCATTTCCGCCCACAAAACTGCCGCTCACTGGATGTTTTTTCTTTTTCGGACCATTCTCTGTAAACCCTAGAGATGGTTGTGCGTGAAAATCCCAGTAGATCAGCAGTTTCTGAAATACTCAGACCAGCCCTTCTGGCACCAACAATCATGCCACGTTCAAAGTCACTCAAATCACCTTTCTTCCCCATACTGATGCTCGGTTTGAACTGCAGGAGATTGTCTTGACCTTGTCTACATGCCTAAATGCACTGAGTTGTCGCCATGTGATTGGCTGCTTAGAAATTAAGTGTTAGCGAGCAGTTGGACAGGTGTACCTAATAAAGTGGCTGGTGAGTGTAGTACTGTACAACAACGATTAAAACAGAGAAAGCTATTAAAGTTAAAAACAGTAAAAAGATTTAGTTTATGACAGTCTGTTATGTGCTGAAATCTATCCTATCCATATTTTGCAATTTCACTATTTTTAAAAAAGAAAATCATTTGTATGATTTCCTCGCTGTGCTTCGCTTCCTCTAGTTATAGGTCCTCGTGTGCTCACTGTGCTGGGCAGAGATGTGATACTACAGAAGACATGTGGCTCCATCGCTGACTGTACTTTTGATGAGCTGTGTGGTAAAGTGAGTACTGCCAAAAAATGATTTGTATGTAGGAAAACAAACGTCTTCTTCTGGGTTTATATTCTTATTATTTCTATCACTCACGCTTCAGGGGTCTTCGACTCCAGTCATCCAGAACCACTGCTATTTCACTCAAAATGTCTCCCTGGTCCATGGCATTAATGGCAAATTAATGGCTCAATTGTATTTCTATTAGACTATGGCAGTCATAATAATGACAAAAACACTGCTGCATGCAGTGTTTGCACATATAAACAGCATTGGAACATGTCCTCACCTGTAAGACTGACAGGGTGTCATGTTAATTTAAAAAAGTGCTCAAAAATGGTCAAATAAGAAAGCTTGACACGGCAGAAGCCCTTGTGGAACTGTTAGTCGGGTATGGTCCCTTTACCCTGACTCTTGTTCTCTCTGGGTTTTGGAAATCCTGGTTTCAGAAAACAAATAAAGTGCAACATAAAGCCTGGTTTTATTTACAGGTTTGTTTCTGCACAGCTACACTAAGTTTCAGCCTTAACATTTAAATCAGTTTAAAATTTAGACTATGTGTTTTTTTAGCCATCATCTTGTAGATGTTTGCTGATTCATTTTACTGATCAATCTTTAGTCTATGCTTTACCCATTTTATCAGTCAAAACATTCAAGAAGACAAAAGACATGCAGCAAAGCAAATCATTTAATCTCCACTTAGCTGAATTAAAAAGCCATGTAGAGATTAAGAAACCAACCCTGCAGAGGAGCTTCCTTCCCAACAGAGCTTCACTATCTTAGTTTTTCTGTTACATACTGTTATATCATCAGTTGTGATAAATCTGCAGTTTTCTTTTTCTCTGTCATCTTTGTCAGGAATCAGGATGATAGGAAAGGAAAGGAGGAATTAAGAACACTTGGGCTGATTACTAATGGTGTAAATCTCAGCTGCTATCATTTCACCTATTGTGGAGTCAACAGTTAGTCCACTATTGTGGGTAGAAAGTTAATCCTGGACTGCTTTGGTCCAGACAGCCTTCAGACTTAAAGACGTCTTAACGGGACTGAAATCACCCAGATGATGCATATCAAACTGGGACAGCTTTCTGAAAAAGGACTACAAAAAATTCCCAAATGTAGCAAATGGTTGAAGCTTTCAGTCAAAAGACCCAGAAAAAATGAAGGTGTGTATATTAGCATGTGTTAAACAGAGAATATGGGATGAAATAATTTAACTTTGTTAGCTTTACGTCCTGTCCAGTGATGGGAGTAGAGGCATTGCATAAAAACAGTATTAGTAACTGCATTAATTTTTTTATTGTAAAAATAATGTAATTACTTTTAATATTGGTAATTAGGGATGCACCGATCCACTTTTTTTCACCTCTGATACGATACCGATATTTGAAGTTTAATGTCGGCCGATACGATACCAAAAACAGCACTGAATTATTACCTAAAAAGTGGTTTTATTGTGTGGAAAAAAACAAAAACTGGGATCATTCTTCAGTGCATATGATTTGACTTCCCTTTTCCTAAAAAAAAAATAGGAAACAACCCAAATATAAAAGTTATGACTCAACTACTGTGTCAACATGTAATAAAAAAGTGTCATTATCAAGTATCATCTCTGTGATTTTTTTGGCTTGTATACTGTTATATGGAAAAAATGAACTTCTTTCTTTTGCTTCCAAAGAAATTAGCTGCTTCCCGCTGCTTCCTTTTTGTTTGCCGAAAATCTCAACATGTTCCTTGTTGTGAAACTTCTGGAGGTGTTTCATTAAGTTGATGGTGTTACAGTGTGAAGATTTAACACCGCAACTTGGAACATTTTTCCCACAAATATTGCACGTAGCCATTGGGCTAGTAGGCTGAGAGAGCTCCATGATAAACAATATGGCCATGTTGTGTTGTTGCGCGGCCGCATGGCGGCAGAGCATAGCATAGAGTTAGAATGAATAGATCGGCCCCTATATCGACCGATCTGGATTTTGTTTTTTTTCCTTATATCTGGACTGATACCGATGAAAATATCGGAGCGGTGCATCCCTATTGGCTATAATCTAAAGATGCTCCTTACACAATGTCTTCACTGACTGACAGCTGGCTAACTTAATCAACACGTTTCTTTTTTTACTTCTCAGTGTTCTGCTCAATTCACTTGCACGCTCTACATTTTTTTATTGTGATTTGTTTTTGTTTTTTGATGTTTGTTTTTATTTAGTCCTGCTGTGTTTTTATAAAGTAATGGGGACTGTGTTTAATTATTTTGCAAAGTATGTTTTACTTTAGAATAGAACTGAAAAACCCTTTATTGTCCCGTAATGGTGAAATTGTGGTGTTACAGCAGCAAAAGGTTATAGCAGAAGTGGTCACACAATGTGGGCCTTAGAAACATGTATAAAAATAACAGAATAAGTGACAGAGTTAAGAAAATAAACAAATAAAATACTGTACTTCAGAGTGCTTTTACAATATAAATACTCTCTATCTGGAGAATAATCAGTAAACAGCTGTGGACATTTTTACAGTAGTGGATATGTGAAAATAGCTGCAGCACTAAGAGAAACTGTGCAAAAATCCGAATGAATGTAACAACTTATTGAGTTAGTTGGGAACAGTGGTGGTTATAGAGTCAACAGCTGCTGGGAGGAAGGATCTATGATAACGCTCCCTGGTGCATTTAGGGTGCAGCAGTGACAACTGGAGAGTACCACCACTTAAGCACCAGCAATTATTTGTGTTTAATTGCATGAAAAATATATTTTTTTCAGCTTCATACCTACCTTACAGCAAGTTAAAAGCTGCAAACGTGCAAAAATATACATTTCTTAAACATCTCATTCGCTATATTTGCTTTTTATTACATTCAAAAAATATAATCACATTAACATAATTATATTGCAGGTAACTTGTCCAACCACACACGCCAAATGATGCAGATTAATGATTATTGTTTTTTAGATATTTAGTCCTCTTAATATTTTACATTTCATAATTAAAGCTCAGGTTGTTTTTAAAGGAAAGTTGTAGTCTTCTATATTTAAGATCATAAAAAAAGACTGGATAGTTGTTTTCACTGGATTGTGTTGTAACTGCATTAAAAACTCAGTTACTTTTATTAGGAAGTAACTATAATTAGTTACTTATTTTACGTAACATTCCAAACTACACTATGTTCCTGTCACTCAAAGGTAATTGGCTGTAACAACGGATTCCTTATATGTCATTCATTCGAAGCATCAGTCTGCTAATTTCCTTCTTTATACTGATGGAGGAAGCAAGAGTTTTGCTTCAAATATCTTTTTTTTTAAGTTTTTTTTTATTTAGTTTTTCGCATATAGTCTCAATTAGAATGGTATAAAGATTTCTAGCCCTTTTGTGGCATATCGCTCACTTCAGACTCCAAATCCACTAACATCTAATAAAATCGGCAGAGATTAAAGCCCTTGTCATTATTATCTCTCAGCCCCGTTTTTTCCCCCTATGCTTTTCTGGTATTGTCCAAAGCTTTCTCTCTATCCAGGTCCTATTTGTCTGCTCAATGTCAAAAAGCAAGACTATTGACGAATTTTTGATTAGTTGAGTCTTTTATAGCCTTTTGCAGCAGTATTCTGCAGTGTTTGTGTAAAGTCTCAACCCTGATGGAGAGTGGAGAGTTTTCGAAGGCATCTGAGCTTCAAGGCTCCCTCTGACATTTGTTGCCATATCCTCATTAATTTTAAGAGCAATTAAATTGAATGACAGCCCCCTCCACCAAGGACATTTGATCAACAAGGGTATTTTGTACAAAATGCTCTTGTTGTAAAATTGTAGAGGTTACTTAGCTGTAAAAATGTGCACCCACTGCTCTCAGTATGTCCCCTTGTTCGCTCTTCTCCAGCCAATGGGTGCGAGCGATTACCTGGAGATGGCCCGGATCTTTGACACCGTGTTCATCCGCCATGTTCCCATCCTGACTCTGACTCTGAAGGACCAGGCCAGGCGCTTCACCACCCTCATAGACAACTTCTATGACAAAAAGGTAAACAGTTCAGATGAAAAGGCAAGTGTAGGAGAATCAATGAGCTCTATATTCCCAACTATTTAATAATAATACATTTATTACCCTTAGTTGAGAATGATTCACTTGTGTAATTTCCGGTGGAACATTAGCAAGGTTGAGCTATTTCTCTCTGGTTTAAAAAATAATAGTCTGTAATTTAGATCAAATCCGAAAATCAGATAGATGGTAACAAGATGGAGCTTTGAAAACCAAACTTCTTATAGAAAAACGTCCTTTTCTGCTTTGTCTGTGACCTTTGGTTGCCCCTCAGGTTTCTGCATACTGCATAAAGTAACAGATTTAATTGAATAAATGATGACAGTCCAGTTTTTTGCTGTTTTTTTTTTTTGCTTTAACTAATAGAACTACTTTAAAGATCGGTTCATACAGGTTACACATCACTTATCCATGTTTATTCAACCTTCTAATCATTGTAAACTACATAAAAAATATTTACAGTTTTCTTAGCGTATTTGTCTGTAGGAATACGGATTGAATCACTTCAGTGCATCAGCCAACTTGCATTTGCCACTTTATTTAGTTAAAGGGATTTACAAATAAGAAATTGCACAGAGTTTAAACACTGAATAAACCAGCAGTGCAAAAGGTCCCATTCAAAATGAAATCTTCATTTGTTATGAAGAATGCCTGGAATAAACACATCAAATATCTGGTCTTTTGACAGTAGGTTCCTTTGCATGTCAAAAAGATGGCCTGTGAGAATTGTTCAAAAAGCTCAAAGAGAGCATTGCCTTGTACAAACAAGGTCAATGATTTAAACAGGCAGCAAAGGTCCTGAATGTAGTTTCAGATTCCAAAAAAATACAAATACTAAAAGAAAACACTTGAAATACTATTTGTGCAGAATTATTTGAATTATTTTTATTATTTCTCTCATTCAAACAGCTATTAGATGGCATGTTTTGTCAATAAATCCAGTTTGCTGTGGAAGTTTAAGTAAGCTTTAGTTTCCTCTCAGTTTAATTCACTTAGATGTAGCAACTGATCACCAAAACTGATTCTTCATACGTGTAAAACTCTGATTGGTAATAAAGCTTTCCAAAAAACAATCCACTGGCCTTTTTTTTCCAAGATTGAAGATGTTTCGCTTCCCATCCAGGAAGCTTTCTCAATTCAAAATTTTGAATTTGAAGTGGATTTTTTTTTTTTTTACTTTTTTGGAATAACAATGACCAGGATGACTGAGAATCTTCACCAGCATATTGTAATAAAGCATTTTTTAGTTTTGATTCTGATAAGACACCACATCATTAAGGTCTGAAATTCTACAAAAGTGAACATCAATCAGAAAACTGGCTTATTGAAACACACTTCTCTGGGCTTTTTTAAACAAACTAAGAGGAGTGATATTGCTAGAGACATCTTGATGTCCCACAGATCCTCTCCGATGCATTTAGGCTACAAAGCATTATCTATAATTGTAGGTACCACTCTGCTGAGATCTAATTTTCTTATCCTTTTTTTTTTTACATATAGGAGCTCAGAATTTTAACGTAGTTAAAGAAGCATCTTAATTTTTATCTCTACCGACAAATGGTCCTTAGTAATCTATATCTTATGAAACTCATAGGGCTTGATATTGTTTATTCTATATTTTGATAAATTAGGAATAAAAACCTCAGTTTACCTGTTCTGACTAGGAAGGTTCAAAACACATTAACTTGGTCAAAACTGTAGAAACTGTAGGTTTAAAGAGGCAGTGGATCCATATAAGTCTTGCTTTTAGATACATAAAACTTAGAGTTATGGATGTGAGGTTTCCTAGCTATTAAAACTCAGGACTTACACCTCTTGTTTTTTGTTCCAGGTGAGAGTGGTGCTTCTGGCAGCAGCTCCATTAGACCGGCTCTTCGTTCATACTGGAGGAGAAGATGAGAGAGATCGACAGCTGCTGGATGACCTGGGCCTCACTGATGTAAGAGCTCCCCTTTCTCACCTCGCAGCGCTGATATGTATTAACTCTACCAGACAGGTTTAAATAGATGATCCAGTAATTAAAACCTGTCAGCTTTCGTCTGAAACGTTTGACTATGACTGGATCTAAGTGTATAAGCTGCTAACTATTATGTTTAACATTCTTTTTTAGGATGCAGCAGAGAGACTCACTCTGTTCACAGCTGAGGAGGAGATCTTTGCCTTCCAAAGGACCATCTCTCGGCTGATGGAGATGCAGACTGAGACTTACTGGGTGGAGGGAGATCGCAGTTACAGCAGTAGACACTTGAACAGTTAACCAGTGGAGCTTACTGCTTTGTTTAGAAACTACCTCCTTACAGCACGGTTCCTCACTAACCAGCCACACACCTTAAGGAAAAAAAATATTTTTATATTTTTTCATTCATACAGCATGATCCATGGTCCTTAAGGGCCAATGTCTTGCATATTTTTAGATTATTCCCATTAGGAACACGAGGTTGTGCAGATGTAAATGTCATCCTGAGGAGGTAATTCAGCAGTTTAAATCGGCTGTTAAATTGGCTAAAATGTTGCAACCAACATAAAGTAGTTTCTCCTTTTTTCAGAGGCCTTCCAGTGTTTTGCATGAAATGAATATATCCTGCAAGATCTGCTTTCTCCCCCTTGTGGACTGGTGATTTAAAAGATAAACAGCCTTCCAGGGAGCATAGCCCACTGAGGACCAAACATCCTCTTTCTGCAGTTGTTTAGTGCCCTCTAGTGGTTGAATGATTTTAAGACCTTTTTTTTTTTTTTTAACTTTTATTTAAAATGTTTGAATCTGTATTTTGCTTAAAATAATAAACTTAAATCTTAACCTTTCACTTAGCTGGATATTTTTTTCAATTAATCTGCAGAAGTATTTATACAACTTGAAGAGTCATGACTCTATGTCACATAAAAACCCACATACCTCATTTTATTTGATCAGGATGTGGTGGAGGGACATAAAGTAGTAATAATTATATAATTTTGAAGTTAAAAGGAAATAATGCAAAGCTTTTAACTGGTCAAAGTAAAATGTCTTTGATAAATGAAAAATGTCACAGGCATCCATGTTCCAGTCCTCAGGAGGCATTGCTCTTTAGAACCACTATTTACAATGGAAACTATTCAGCTTTAGTCCCAGCATGATGCTGCCACTCCCGTGTTTCAGTGATCGTGTGTTTGGGTTTAGGTAAAGTATTAGTTAATTTATGTGTCAAAAAAGCTTGATGTAAGGAGCTTTGTGTTTTTGGAAGGTGTCAAACGCACCATAAAACTAAATGAAAGCAAAATAGAGGTGCCTTATTTTACGCGCAATAGGGCTCGCTTATAGTACAGAAAATACGGTATTATATTTTGGACTTTCCAACCTCCAAGAACTTGACCTTTTGAGCACTCTTACTCTGGAGAAAAGTTTAAATTTCACATGCATTCTTCTCACTGACTTCTCACTTACTATGTCCCTCTTTCTTTAAATGACCTTGAAAAGATTACCCAACTTTTAACAAAACTTAGCATTTGATTGTCACAGATGGCTGACTGCAGTTTTATCTGTCATGCGCAACCAAGACTCCCTTTTTTTATTGCAGCAGCCTGAGTGTTTTAGAATTGGTTTTAAGATTTTATCATTCGTTCACTTAAAAAGGCTGGCACCATGTTAACTCTGATTTTAAACTATACTCCAAATGTATCACTGAAATGTGATGAACTGTTGCTCACAGATCCACGCTGTAAGCTTCTTCCAAACTGGGATAAACTGTCCCAGCAGCCAGCAATCTAGAACATTTCCTTCAATATCAAGTTTTAAAATTTGCTGTAAAAAAACATTTGCTTCTTCATTTTCTTATATTTTATGTCCTACAGAGCATAGTCAGTGGCTAATGTTTTTATTTTCATTTTTTTTTTTATTTAAATGTGATTAGAGAAAAATGTACATGTCCTAATTGAGGCTGAATAGAAATGCAGGCGACGCATTTCAGATTTCCATTTGTAAAAAAAAAAAAACATGTATCAATTTCCTTTGACCTCAAAATCATGCTCTACTTTCCATTTGTCCATCACATAAACCCCAGTGCAATATTATTGAGGTTTTTGGTAATCAGAATGGATGCAATTATCGATTGTATTTCTTTATCAGCAAAAGCTAAAATCTAAGGTGTTCGTTACTTTAAAAAAATATACAATAGCATACAATGCATTTAAACAGGCTGCAGACTAAAATCTAAATTTAGTTGAATAGAGCAGCGACATGATATGCAAAGTAAAATTTTTAACTATATATAAATAACATAAGAGATGTTTTGTTGATAGATTTTCGTGGAAACATGATAATTTTATTTTTATTTTTTTTTTTACTTCTTTTTACTTTTATAAGGCTGTGCAGACCAGGCACAGGGCAAGGCAGACAGATCCTTCATAGCATAACACCACAGACAGGCCAACCCATTGTTACCACCAATAGTGACTTATGATTTCAAAATCCATCAGTACTAGAGCCAAACTGTATTGTATCCTCCACATTTGATTGGTATTCTGCTTTCAAATGAAAAAAAAAACAAAAGTTATTGCTTATATTTTTGAATATATCACCAATGTACAATATTTGCTAATGAAAACTTAAAGAAAAACAAAAAAAAAAGGTTTTTGTTTTATTTTTCTTCTTCGTTTTAATAGTCACATGGGACAGTACTTGTTTCAGTTTTAGATATTTGCCCATAGGTGGCAGCAAATATCAACAAGCTTCCTCAACTGTTACTATTGTCCATCCAAGGATGAGGTCATTGTAGTGCACCACTTCAGCCTGGCCCAGCCAGCTTTGATAACATCTACTCCATCTAGACTAAGAGCCTTATATAAGAACAGAGCAAACAGGCCAACCAGCGAGATCTGAGGAACAAGCACCAACATACCAGTCAGTGATCAGATTAGATTCAGTGGATACTGCTGGTGTGCACAGATACAAGTCTCTTCAGGATGAATCTGATGTGAGGCCAGGAGTCCACCCCCACCATGCTTTTTAGTTAAAGGAAAATCCATCACGTCCCATACTATGTACCTCTTTAATCCAATCAGAGCATTACACCGTTGGGAGTGGAGATGGATGCAGTACATTTCAGTTGTCTCAAACGGATGATCCATTCCGTTTTTTTTTTTAGTGTCCATTGTCTTTATGCACACATTTTCAGTTAAACTGAAATCTATACCCATGTCAATTCTTGACTTGATAGCTGTTCACTCACGTTTTTGTTGGATCCCCTTTCCTTTAAGTGGCTTTAACTGGAAGAAATTGTATTTTATTTTTTATTTGTTGCATCCATTGTAACCAGGTTCTTTTTAGTTTATCTTGCTCTACAAGCTGTAGTGCTATAACATTCATACACTAAGGATTCATTGATACAGAGTCATACATTTTTTTACAAGATAAATGTTTCTTAAGCTTTTGTATTCAGACACTTTTACTTTGAAACTCCTAAATAAGATGCAGTTCACCAAACTGCCTTTAAGATTTGCTTCATTAGTGTATTTTATTTAATACAGCTAACTATAAAAATTAAGGGACATAGTAAACATGCCAGGAATAAAGAAATAAAAAAGCTTAAAGTAGGGACAGGATGCATAGCAGGCTTTAACATCACTAAATGCAGTCTGCTGTCTGAAAAAAATGGCGGATAACCCATATAAACAATGTTCCATTTATTTTGCATCCTAATACTTTGCAGATCCAATGTTCAGGTAAGACAGTCACTTAACATGACCATTAGTTATGCATGTCAAAAATCTAATTATTACTAAAGAGGGATGAGGAGTGAATGGGTATTGAATAAGAACCCACCTTTATTGTCTGCTTTTTTTTTCTTTTGCCAGAAGGTGAGGTCAAATAGAGATGTATTAGCTTACATGCATGGTGACAGCAGTATCATGCTGTGGGGAAGCGTTGGGTTTGCAGGGGAGTTTGATTGGCAAATGAAGTTCAGCTTGTTAATTAAATATAAATGTTTCCAGCACAGCCTTTTCTTACCTTGGAGTGTTTAAAAGTTTAAGGGGAAATAATTTTTAGCTTCTAATAAGCTGCCTGTGCAGACACTGGTGTTTGCATATAGAGACAATCAAGCTCTCAGACACTCTGCAGCCCTTGAGGTGTTAGATTTTCTCAATATGAACAAGAACGTCCTCTTCAGATTCCGACTCAGAGTATCTTTTATAGGTCTGCATAGAAACGATTCCTAACTACAGTACCAATGTACAAACTGGTTGAGTGATTAGAGAAAAAAATGGGTACCACTTTACACTAAGACTCCCCTTATAATAGATCTGTATTAATCTGTTACACTTTATAACCCATGTTTATTGTGTAAACAGCATATTTTGCATGCTATAAAAACCTCTTTATAAATGCTTATTGTGCTGACATAGAAACTTAGTCTGAAATGTTCAATAAGCCACACTATAGGAAACATAATTAAACAGATTAGGCTCACTATTTGGCAAGAGGTTGATCAGTTTTGTCTCCTCCTTGCTTTAAATAACTACATAATTAAAACTTAGGAGTTAAAAATGGGTTACAGATCAATAACTTGGATGTTTATTTTATGTTTTTATCTATAAGGGGAGCATTATTGTAAAGTGATACAGGAAAAAAGCAGTAGTGTGCACCCTTTATTTTTAGATTTGACAAATGTTAAATGTTTTTATTAAGCAATTTAGAACCTCCTTTGAGTAGTTAGGTCACTATTTTGCAGGCAATTTTAATAGCGGGAAATAAAACTACAATAGCACATAAATGTGCAGCATTTGTCAAAATAGCTATGATCAAAAAAGCATTCCTGCACAGGAGGGTAAGAATGTGCGTTGTGCTGCAGCACCTAAAACACTGCTGGACAAAGAGGAGCTGGACGTGATGATTTAGTCAAGATGGAGTAAAAAAGAAGATGGGTGGGAGAGAGTAAAAGAGCTGAGCATCATCTCACCCATCCTGGTGTGTTCTTTTACTGAGGTGACGTAATTATTTTGGACTCCAGCAGGGGGCGTGGTCTGAACGGCCTGACAGCCATGATTGACTGCGTGGATCTCTTATTAAAGGCAACATGCTCTAAATCTTGAGCACCTAAAGATCCTGATCGTTTACCCATACGATTTAAAAGGCATTCTGTATTCAGAAAACTACAAAAATCTATTGAAGAATTTATTATAAAAGATATTTTAGAAATTAGATAATAATGTATTTATTCCCCTAGGAAAGTATTCACACTCCTAGAACCATTTAACACATTTTCATGCTATATTGACAGAATTATATGTATTGCTGTACACCACACAGACTGTTGTATAATAATCAAATGCATAATCTAAAATGTGTGGGATGCATTTATAATCACACCCCCTTTTATTCTGAACCCCTTAATTCAAATCAGTCCAATCAATTGCTCTAGGAAATCACTTAATTAGAAATGAGATTTTAGTCACAGTCATTAAAGCAGGTTTAGGTTATCAAACTATTTTCCAATTTTTACACATCTCAAAAGGCACTGTTCAAGCCACCCCACTTGCCAGGGTCAATTGCAGTAGCATCAGTTTAGGATTTCATCCTATTATCCACAGCCAGCGACATAACAATAAAAATCACACAATAAACCAAGATATAGTAGGTGTTTACTTAGGTTTACCACAGTAGTAGATTCAAACTCTAAAATTATGGCTTTTAGTTTCCGAGTGCCACCCCAAGATTTTTAGTGGCCCCATCTGGCCACCCCTATGAAACATTTGAGTAGGCACCACTGGTTCAATCTATCATCTGAAAGGTATAAAGCAATAAAGCACAACACTGACACTAGTAAAACAGGATACTTTTTCTTACCAAGGATTTGGAGCTAGTTATAATTGATGGAAAACTTAAAGGCCTGTTAGAGGCTGCAAAAATCAGGAGATAGTGCATATGTTCAGATTACCTGAAAGCAGAAAAATAATTATATAATAATAATAACTGTATGAGTGACTCCTTGTGCTTCCCCACTAACCAATCAAGCTTCAGGAAACAATCTGGATTCTGGGACTATATAAAAAGCATCACAATGCCACTCAAAGCATTTTAGACAGTCAACCAACAAGTAGGGGGCACCAACTCTCCACTGATAACACCTGCTTAAAAGCAACAGAAAACTGGGATATTTGTCAAATGTTGTCCCTTTTAAATGCCGCCCTGGGCGACTGGCAATATGGCTCCTATCCAAAATTGCAAATGAACAGGAACATTCTTGTGCATTTTATTATGAAAAATATATAGTTTTTAATGCAAATTCCTCTTTATTGATTAGTTTCCTTTTCTTTTTTCCCCCAAAATAAGCTTTCTGGTGTAATTTTAAGAAGTATGAAATTTGATTTTCGAGATAAAATGCTTTTTTGACTGGAGAGTTATTATTTTAAGTCAGTACACACCAATTGAAAAAGCAATTATTCCCTTTAAACGTTTTAGGGCTAATTTCATAAACTCAAGCCCAAACACTGGAACTAAATTTAAATATAGCAGTTATTTTTTGCAGGAGTTTTTTTTTTTTCTTCTTCTTATATTTCACTATTCCTCTTACTGATTCCGTTTATTTCTGAACTTATCTTCAACATGTCAGGACATATTCTGGCTCCACCTGCGCTGCGCAGCAGGGCTGTAATGTCTCTTTAAAAGGCTGTTCCAGGGGGGCTGGTCCAGGATCGGCTTACATGCGTGTGTGTGAGTGGAGCCTGTGTGTGTGTGTGAGAAGCTGCGTGCTGAACAACGCGATATACAGTAGTAACCCAGAGTGAGGTGGCAGTCTTATTCCACATCGACTTGCCCCTGCGCGCATCTTTATCTGAGTCCATATCTGTGCGCAGTGGAAGAAGAGCGGATCAGCATGGCCCCTGGACGTGACTGTGGACAACCCACGATCTGATCTGGTTTCTTCTTTGTGTGGAGATTGATTGCACAAGGTAAGGTGTTTAAAGTGGGATTATTATTTACTGTATATTTCTGCACATGTGATTACCTGTATTGGAGATCAGAATGGAAGCGATGAAACTTAAACCCTGTTGGTTATTTCTAAGAAGTGATTTATTTGCAGATATATTTCGTTGATTTTCTTTCGGCCTATGTGGCCACTGATCTGGGTCTGTTTCTAATGTCTTCAACAGGCGTTCATTTCTGAGTATTTGGCCTCTGCTGGGACTTCGCTGGGGTTGAACAGCAACAAAGGACGGGAGCGCGCATTCATGGGACGCGACTTTGACAGCTCCCCGTCTGTTCTCCTATAACTTTATCAGCTCTCAGCAAGGACCAGATTGAGTCTGGAGATAATGGCAGAGGCTCCGCTCCCTGACGCTCTTCCGGACTTGGAAGTGGCCATTGACCCGGACTTTGAGCCCCAGAAGCGCCCCCGCTCCTGCACCTGGCCGCTGCCCCGACCGGACTCCAGCGCGGTGAAACCGGAGAGCACCGAGGCAGATATTATACCTGAGGAGGAGGACGACGAGGAGGACGGCTCAACCCCCGCTTCCATCGGTGTTAATGGCTCCACTGCTGCGACAGAGGACCAGAGCAGTAACAGCCCCGTTACCGACGGTCCGTACCCCTCCCCCGGGCATGAGAGCGGAGGCTCCCCGCTCTCCACGAACTCACCTCCGGCCCCCTCCGGCGCTTTGACCCCCAGCGGCTTGGCTGCAGCGCAGACCCCGAGGAAGGCATCGTCCCGCCGCAACGCCTGGGGGAATCTCTCCTACGCCGACCTGATCACCAAAGCCATCGAGAGCTCACCGGAGAAGAGACTGACCCTGTCCCAGATCTATGACTGGATGGTGAGATCCATCCCCTACTTTAAAGACAAAGGCGACAGCAACAGCTCTGCAGGCTGGAAGGTAAGAAAGAGGCAACGCTGCGCCCACCCCGTACCCCCTCCTTCCTCCATCAAAACAAAAACAAAAAGCATGTGGTTTGTTGTGAACCCACTGATGCGCTGACGCACAAGCAGACAGTCACACGCATCCAATTATGACATCCCTGTTACGAGCGTGTATTAGAAAATTATGTCACAGCCAGAGCCAGTCCAAGGCTGTAGGGAGGGATCGTCCATATTCCATCCTTTACATCGAACACATTCCAATAACTTAGAATATCATGAAAATGTTAATACATTCATACATGTCTATTATAAAATTTCTTTACCTCTAATTATTTTCCAGTAATTTAATCATGTTGATTCTGATGAGTATGGCTCACTGCAATGAACATCAGATATGTTTTTTTCTCTCAGATGTATAGGACAGAATAGTCATCCTCCACTTGATGCCATTTTAGGGGGAGTGGTGTCCTGGTGGTTAGGGCATAGAGCTCGGAATCCTGAGGATCTGAGTTCAAGCCCCACTTCCACAGACTGCCACTCTGGCTCTCTGAGCAACACCCTTAACCCCACAATGCTCCTTGGGCGCCTCAGGATGGCAGCCCATTGCTCCCCAAGGGGATGGGTTAAATGGTAAATTTCTCCAATGTGAGATCAATAAAGTTCAATTAAATTATTAATTATTAGAGATTCACTGTGAGGCAAATTTGGGATGCCATGGTGTTTGGTATTATGAAACAGGTGGAAAGACCTGCTCAGAAATAAACTCAGCATCTCTTTAAAGCTTGTCAACAGAGGGCACAATAAGATGGAACAACACACTATATTTGCTTCACAGTCCACCCAAGGCCATGTTTATTGATGGTATTTTGGCAGTTTTCCTATTTAATCTCTCATGTATACATATGGTTTATTAGGATCAACAGGCTTTTTCAATAATGCCCTCTTTTGACTTCACCTTGCTGTGGAAATTGTCAGTGACTCTCTGCTGCAAAACTTTCAAGTCAGCATTGAACCTAAATGACTGTATAACACATGGTATGTTTAAATTTGTACATTTCTTTGCTAAATCGGACCTATATGATATTAAACTTTTAGAGTAAAGGCTTTTCATTTGCCCTAAGCCGTTATGAGTATTCATGCAAATTAAGACACTGATCGAGACACTCTATAAGATTTAGTTTTTTTAATATATTTTCTAAAATAAAATATTTAGTTGTTGGTATTCTTTTTTTTAATGAGCCTGTATCATTTGTTTAGAAAAATCTTAATTGTCACATCTGATTTCTGTAGTAATTCTTATTTCTTTGGTCTAAAAAAACTGCCTGTTCGGATTATGCCTGGTACTGGCTCTGGTTATACGCCTTTATTACTTTAAATACAGAGAAATCAGTCAAGCAGTAAAGATTAACCATTATTAAAATATTGAACGTTTTCATTGAGATCATTAAAAGTCTCATGTTATGACTGCTCTAAATTAAACAAAACAATACCTTAGGTTCAAAGTATAGCAAACATGTTTGAAAGTGTTTACCTTGTTAATTAGCATAAAAAGTTCTTGCACCAGGCTGATCAGCAGACATAAACATAGGTGTGAACCATCTTCAGGTTGCTTCCATCACTAAGTCGGAAATTTGAAAAATGGCGAATATTATATGCGTTAAATACCATATTAATATCTTTGTCAGTATCACTAAGAGCTTAAAGAAAGCAATACTATCACTACTATTAGTATTAGTTGGCCAGTGGGCTTAAGCATCCTTTGACTCTGCAGCAAAATCAGATTGCTTTTGCAGCTTTAGCTCCCAATTTCACAGGACACCAACATTGAATTCTGAGCACTTATTGTTTCTTATTCTTTGTGTTGTTAAAACAATCTAATTTTATTGCTTTTTTCACATTTGATCTTGGACTTTTTCCCTCTTTCTTTTCACACCTCCACCCACGGTTGCTTACTCACTCGGCTTTATTGCTTGTATGATTCTTCCTTATTTAATCATTGCACTCATGCAAAATATATTTTCAGTCATGTGGTCTTGTTAGGATAAAATTTCAAAAAGCGCTTTTTTCACGTGTAAATAAAGAAAACACAAATTGTAATTACAAGCTAAGTAATATATAATAAGCCAACAATGTTCCTTAGTTGAGTCCAAACACTTGTATGCGATTAGATTGGGCTACTGGCTTAGAAATGTGTAAGGTTCTTGCATGGAACTAGTCCTCTTTAATGCAGACTGTTGTCATACAATAACCTGCAAAAATCAAAACATTTAATAAGTTTTGCAAAAGGACCATGAGATGAATGGAGAAACTTTAAAATAGGTGTTAATAAGGCCTGATCTTTCTTAAAAGCCTGCAGCTGGGGCAATCAAACGTTATAACCGGTTTTTCTGGAAAGACGGTGGCCTATTTTAGGTGTTGCAATCTGGTTTTAAGATGTTAACAGAATGATACAGTTACATAAGTCTGCTCCTGAACAGCAGCTAATCTATTAATGGTCCAAGAAAGCCAACAGTAAACAAAATGATTTATCAGGGAAAGCTGCGTGGAAAAAATGTGAACTCTGAAAGCCCTTTTTCTTAATGTGCGGTTCTGTATGAGCCTTATTTAATCGTTTTAGTTGGAATCACATTGTGACTCTAATGTTTATGTTCTAAAAGTACATTTTCCGTCATGCATCTGTGGGGACACAAGCTTTGCTCTGTTTCCCATTTGTTATGTAAACCTTGGCAGAGAGCTATCAGTCTCCTAGGCCAGGTAGGTGATTGCCAAGCTTGCTGATACCAGCATAAGGGAATTGCATAACTATGGGGTGGCCCTGGGTTTAGGTTAAAGGAGTTGATCTGGCCAGCTAACAACATGTGGACCAGCAAGAAAAAAAGTAGTACATAGCCACAAAAGGTCAGAGAGCAGAGATTAACACCCGTTACAAGCCAAAAGCCTCATCCCATGCAGTTATGAGGGCCTTTTTTTTCCAGGGCTTCTCAAGTGTAGTTATGTGATATGATCTAGTGAAAAGCAAAGAAGGTTACGGGTATAGCCCTCAAATACAAGTCAAGGCCGGGTTCACTGTCAACATGCAGGCTTGTTACTTCAAGAATTTGGGGCATGAAGGCCAAGCTGTCACTAGTATAGTGTTACTCGTGGTCTGTTTGTAAATCAAAGCTGGAGATCACAGCTTGGGAACTTTTCTAGAACTCTTTTCAGGACAGGCTCTCTCTTACCAGGAGGAGTAATAAAATAAATATAGCTTCACTTTCCATTTTTGTGACCCCAAAGCCTCACCTCTGCATAGCCCCAGGTTTGAACCCCTGCTTTTTTATGCATCCAGGACACCTTTGTTGAAGAGATTTGCTGAACAAATCTTGGTAATCCCCCCCTTGGTTCTCTGTGGCAGTATCACAACAACGTCATCCTCCTTCATATCAGTCAGTTATCCATCAGCCCAGTCAGAAGTAGGTTAAGACTGCCATCAATAACACTTTTATCACCTTAAGGCAGCAATTGGATATGCTTCAAATAGAAGCATACAGTTTAGTCACTCCCTTGTTGTTACACAATAGGGAACAAAGTGTGCTGAACTTGATGAGTGTTGTATATTCTTTATATACTTTATAATGAGCTTTTCACATCACATGGTTTGCACTTTTTTTCTTTTTTTTCTCTTCTCTGGCTGCTTGTCTTTCAGCGCTTTGCAAGATGGTGAAATTTTTACTTGTGACTCTGATATGAAAACAGGGTTTCCTACCAAGTCTGGAAAAGTCTAGAACTTCATTGAAATAATTTACAGATCAAGTACAAAACAAAAATTGTATTTCCAGACTCACTATTATTTAAATATCCATCCATCCATCCGTCCATCCATCCATCCAGCCTGTTTTTTTAACGGTTCGATATTTAACCTCGAACCGTTCAAAGCAGAACTGTCTGGTATTGATTTATTGTAAACCTTTATATTAATACTTAAAAAAAATGAAAAGACTGATTTAAAAAAAAAACCATCAAATTGAAGCTGCATGAAAGTCAAGCTTGTGTTTGAATCCTCAGAAGTATTTTTTCTTTCTCAGAGAGCGTCTCACTCAGAAAGTTTTAAAAAGAAAGTCCCTGTTGCGGAAAGAGTTTCGATCTGCTGAACTGTGTTCTAGGAGAGGCTACAGAATCCTTTACAGGCTGATCATTAAACTAGCACATAAAACAGAGTGCTTTCATAAGACAAGATTAGGTGCACCTGTTTGGATTTGTGTGCAGTGGTTTGTGCATTTGTCCATGTGGGAGCGTGGGATTCCTCCTGACTGCTGCAGACCTCGTGCTTTAGTTGTTACTTAATCCTGCTGTAACAGGCTCTCTGTGGCCAACCACTGTGGGCCAAGACCTAGTTATGTCACACTTAAGGTAAACAGGTTTTCACACAAGTGGGACGTATAGTTCATCTGTGTGTGTTTTTAACTCTGGAGTACAGTCGATATGTTCCTGCTCAGGCATGCATAGATGTTCTGTTTATAGCGCTTCTGTCTGGTCGTGTTCAGTCTTATCACCAAGTTCTTGACTGTTAGAGTCTGGGGTCTGAAAATAGTTGGACTCATTAAAGATTTTTGTTTTCCCATTCAGATAACAGACATCTTTAAGAAACTTTAGGCTGGAACTGGTGTGTTTTGGAATCAAGACGAGCCCACTTTTTGCTTCAACCGCACACAAAAAAAAACTACTATGCTACAGATGTATTTTCATTTTTATACATATATGTCATCATTTTTACAAATAGCAAAAGAAATTGATTCTTGTGTAATCAACAATAAAATGCATGGCTTTAATTAAGATCTAAGCACTGTGATCAGCGTGAGATGATGAATTACACCACTAGAGAAATTTCAAAAAAGATTAACTAGGGGACAGAAAAGGGGGGAGGGGGGTCCATGCATTTGCAGGTGTGCATATTGAATGCAATCAGAAACCCTTTCAGATCTGGCCAAGAGCCAAGTTGGAGCAACTCAACCAAAAAAAAAAAGCAATAAAAACACG